ACGCTTCCTCGTGAGTTGAGAAGACGAAGCCTTAGGTCGGTCATTGACTCGGATTTCGAAGCGATTGGGGTTGGAGTCGTCGGAATCCATGGAAATGGTGATCAAAGATGAAAACTTTCCAAGGTTTTTAGTGGATTTTGGGAGGATTGAAAAACCCTAGCTTGATTTTTTTTTAAGCCCAAATGAAGAAATCAGTAAGAAACCTGAGAGGAAAGTGTTTAGAGGGTATTTTGGTCAAATACGTATTCGGACTCTTGAATACGTCCATAACCGAAGCCAAACCAAATTATCTAAACATCACGATGCGGTTCGGTTGGGTTTATAATCGCAGGCCTAGTTGGGCGGAATATTGAAAACTACTTCCTCAACTATTCCCAATAAAAAAACGAGACGAGAGACAAGTTCGAGAAAATTGGATAGTAATAAAATGCCATAAACTCACACTAGTTTGGGTAATAATAATCACAATATATTGGATGATTCAAATAATTTTGAGGAAAATTGAAAACTTTTGGATAACATTTAACATTTAGATCGAAATGGGTTATTTTTTCTCTCTAACTCTTTTATTGGTTTTGATAGTTCATCTTCATGCTCAATATTTGCTGTATTACATTCATGTTCTCTCTTAGTCAAATAACACACCATTGCACTCGTTTCCTGGATGTTTTAGATTCAATTCATAAACATACAACATAGAAACCAAAGCCAATGAAAACTAGAATGGTGATTTCTACAAAACCAAGTCACACACTAGAGACAAAAGAAGCCACAACTCTTTTCTAACATAGGCTAATTAACCGTTCAAAAGATGGCTTTTACGTTACAAACATCTAACTCATTCCAAAAAGCATAACTTTTCTACTAATAATTAGGCAGAAACTATTTTGTTCGCAAGCTTTGAGGAGAAAGCGAGCTTCTTGATATATAATTGCACCTCCTCAACAAGCATTGCCTTCCATTCACCACTTAACTCAGTTCTTTTCTCAGCTTCAAGGTTCCTCAAATTATGAAGTAGCAGCTTCTAATGTGTTTTACCTAAAGTTGGAAACAATATAGCCTCAAACGCGTCCTGCAGAACACAAAACTCATCCACACCATCTTCTTCACCACCGTCATCAATCTCCATACTTATGTTACTCGCTCATGCTCCCCACAAGACACATCCTTATCCAAAACAAGAACCTCTAAAATCATTATGCACTAATAATTCTATAAAATTTTACATAATATTTTGCGATGGTTATAAGAAGATTGGTAAGACATAACAAATACTCACTACTTTTTCCTGATCCATACTCTCATTAACCTGCTCATCATGCTCCGCATAACACACATCCTTATTCAAAACAAGAACGTAAAGATCATTACTCATTAATAATATCAAAATTTACATAATGTTAGAACAGAATGAACACTCACTCACCTTTGCTTGCTCCGCATTCTCATTAATCAGCTCATGCTCCACATAAGGCACATCCTTATTCAAAACAAGAACGCTCATTAGTAATATCAAAATTTACATAATGTTAGAACAGAACGAACACTCACTCACCTTTGCTTGTTCCATACTCTCATTAACCCGCTTATGCTCCGCATAAGACGCATCCTTATTCAAAACAAGAACGTAAACATCATACCTCATTAATAATATCAAAATTTACATAGTGTTAGAACATAATGAACACTCACTACCTTTGCTTGGTCCACATTCTCATTAACCCAGTCATAAGGCACATCCTTAATCGAAACAAGAATTGTAAATATCATTACTCAATATATCAAAATTTACATAATGTTATAACTTACAACAGAATGACCACTCACTACCTTTGCTTGGTCCACATTCTCATCAATCCGCTCATGCTCCGCATAAGGCACATCCTTATTCAAAACAATAAACTTTTAAGATCATTACACAACAGTAATATCAAACTTCAGATAATGTTTTGAGACGGTAAAAGAAAAGGAACACTCACTCACCTTCCCTTGCTCCAAGTTCTCATTAGAACCAAATTCTGTTTCATTTTGTTTGGCCCATATGATCATTGACAATTTGAAGATTTCATCGTCATCGATATTAGTAATCTTCAGATTTAGCAATGTTATTAGTGAATCTCTTCTTCAAACCCCTAATCTTACCTGTGAGCTGCTTCTTGGAGAATTTTGAATGAATGGAACCTTTATTGGAAGGATATTTCGATATTCTATATTTACATTATACGTATATGTAGTTGTCTTTTCTCTTATAATTACCTTTCTTCGATGTTAGGTCAAACACTATTGTATCTATATATATCGGCCAAGAGCCAAGAATAAACTTCACTTCCGCAAACTCTGTTATGGTAGCAGAGCCATTAGGTTTTCACAAACGATCCTTTTGCTCGCCGCCATACCTTCTTCTCTTTGTCTTTTTTTTATTGCCTTTAGAGAACCGACGAGGTCTCTCTGTCTTTTCTTTCCACATCTCGCCGTGAGTTTGTGAAGATCGTTTGTTTCCTTTTCCCAAATCATGTCTGGAAAAGATGATGGTAGTGATTTGTCTTCCACAAAGAATACAACGACACCCGATTCGATT